TTGAGCGGTGAGCCTTCCCAAGTTGAATTCGCGCTCCCGTAATTGGGCGTGAGCGGCCTCCAACTCCTGTTGTAGTTCTGGGACCTGGTTGCCGGCCCCGGCGATATTGGATTCCCTCACCGATAGGTTAACACGCGCCTCCTCAACCTGCGAGTTAAGCTGAGCATTCCGATTCTGCACGTCCGCGACTGCGTTAGCGTAATCAATATTCAGGCGCCCCTTTCAGCAGTGATGAGCCCTTGTTGGTGCCCCAACTCCCGGGCTGTCCCCATAGCGGGCAGGAGCGCTTGTGTCTCAAAATTAGGGATCCGAGGCGCCCGTAGATTCGCAATATTTCCAATAAGAGTGGAATCCTGTCATGCATTAGAGATAGGTCCATGGAACAAGCATAAGCCTGTCGATGATGCGGCCACAGTTAACGTCCCGTCCGAAATATGATTACCATTAATAAACGTCATCTGCACCTGGGTCTCGCCACATTGGCACACCATGTCCCAGAGACGGGCGCCAATATCACACCACTCGGAGGGTGTGTAGGGAACCAAAGCCATTTCCTTAAACTTACCTGGCAGTGTGTTTGTAAAAAAAATAAAAACAAAACACAAAAAAAAAAAAAACAGAATAAACTTCCGCATCGCCGGCCGGACCCTGAAATTTCCTATATAAAAAAAAACGTTGAACCCCTTTTGTTTTGGCATATTTTTTTGAAAGCTTGTGAAGACAATGATCGTGGGAGAGCTGGCTAACTTAATTAATGTATGTATATCCTGGTAAATGAAGGCATTATTTATGATACTCTCTACCGTATGAATCTTTTGGGAAGAACACGACTTTGTAGGGGCAGGGGGCCGGTAGAGGCCAGAGTGTTTTTTGTTTTTATTTTCCTTATGATGTGAGGGGCCCATTTTTGTCCTCTTACCATTTTCCTGCTTGACATGCCGCCTCTTTTGGTCCCGGATCGCTGCCCGTCCGTGCGCCCGAGTGTGTGGCATTCCCATCTTTTCTTTCCTCCTTTCCCCTCGCCGTTTTTGTTTTTGTGGACCCACAGTCTGTCCCGCAAGGAATTGTTGTAATGGCTTATTGATTTGGCAGCACGTGCCCTGTAAGGCGTGCCCCCAGACCTCGTGGTGCTGTGCCGTGCCCCAGCAAGACGCAGCTGGTCCGGGCGCTGGTTGTGATGCCGTCAGCCCCGCGCCAACAACGACGACCCCATGAGGGAAACATTGCTGGCTCCTGGCTTCCCCCGACAATACGGAGCAATTGACCCTGGCACCACGCTGAGGCGGCCGGAGGGAAAATTCCAAAAGGAAATAACAACGGGTTTGGCGGGGGTGCCAGGAAATGAAGGTAAATAAAAAGAAAAAAATTTGTATATGCGAGCAATGAGAGTCATGTAAATGCAAAACGAAGGTTCAAAAACAAGGATCATACTTTGGTTGGTGACATACCACGACGGGGTGGTTGAAGAGGGCAATAGACGCGTACTGCGTGTGCGCTTGAAGCTGTTAGAGGCCTCTATTTTGTTATCGTATTTGGCTTGGGTCTCTTTGATGTGTCCTTTGTTGCTCATCTGTGGCCGTAAACTGAATTATGTGATTGTGGTTGAGCGGGTGTTGTGCGCAAGTGAAATGGGCGGTCTTTTCGCACCGCCA